CTGTATTGTGCTGTACAATGGTGATGAGGCAAGTTCCGAAGAACTAAAATCAAAGTAGTAGAACAGGGACAATGAAGCAACTACCCGACAATGGGCTAGCGACTAGATTGGATTTTAGAGAAGGATCATCGATTAGCCGGATGGCCTTTCGTTGAATACGATCAACAAGGGAGGAAGACGAAGCCCCACCCCACACGTGACTACAGTATTCATGAGCAGGGCGGATTTGTACTTTGTAAAATAGAAGATGAGCTGGGGTGAAAAAAGGTCTGGTGCGAAATATAAATCCAACCTTGCGCGCAGCACGAGAAGCAACCTTAGCTATAAAAGGGGACCAGCATAAAGAAGTTATAGGCAATCCAAGAAGGGAAACAGAGTCTGTGGAACGCAGTTGGGTGGAATCAAAAGATAAATGAGGAGAGAATAAATGGTGTTTCAAAGAAACTGAAAGGAGAAGTTTTAGAACTATTAAATGGAATATGGTTTGCGATTCCCCAGGAGGAGATGTGTTCGAGATCGGAGTCCAGTGACACATTGAATGCATTACGGTCACCATCGGTGTTGTTTTGGGCATGGTGAGCAGTGCGGTAGGAGAGGGAGCAGTGGAGAGTGGCGTCATCTGCAAAAGAATGGATCGGGTTAGTAGTTTGGGAAAGGAGGTCATTGATAAATAGAAGGAAGAGGGTAAACGCTGAGCCTTGGGGAACACCAGCGTTCACAGGGAATGGCTGAGATAGAACCCCATCAACTAGGGCGGAGATGGTTCGCTTACTGAAGAAACTTGATATCCACGCTACGAGCGCTGGAGGGAACCTGAACATGGGTAGTTTCGCTGAGACCTTCTTGCCAAACTCGGTCGAAGGCCTTTGAGATGTCCAGGGAGACCAAGTGTGTTTCCCCGTGGTTTTCGAGTGGAGCTGATCAGGATTGTAAGACAAGAGCCAGAAGGTCATCGGTGGAACAACGCGGTCGAAAGCCATACTGGCGGTCGCTCAGTAGTCCTTCACGTTCAAGGAACGTGCGTAGCTGGTCAGAAATGATAGTTTCAAATACTTTCGAAAAAACAAATGAGGGAAATGGGTCAGTAATTGTTGGGATTAGAAAGGTCGCTGCATTTGGGAATGGGAAAAATCACGGCGCGTTTCCAGAGGGTTGGAAAGGAAGAAAGTTGGAGGGAAAGAGTGAAAAGGCGACGTAAAACAGGAGCCAGCTCGGGAGCACATATTTTGAGGACGATGGTTGGAATACCGTCCGGACCGGGTGGTTTGTTTGTCCTGATTGTGAACGTTAAAATCTCCCAAGATGGTAACATGGCAGTTGGGATCGGTTGAAAACAAATGTTCAATCTTTGAAGATAGAAAATCAAAGATGGAAGAGTCGCCGCTGTTGAGGAACGGTAAAGAACACAAAAGTAATGATTGTAGGAAGGAAGTCTAAGTTTCAGCCGCTTCAGCTGAAATTCACGATTGGAAAAGTCAATATTTGGGATCCTGGAGGCGGCGACTGATTGGTGAATAAAGGTGCAGACACCAGCTTTGGGTAGAAAAGAGGAATGGAGAGTTTAGTTGGGGAATTGAAAGTGGGTGATGTCTGACGAAGGGGAGATTTGTGTTTTGGTCAAAAAAAGGGCGAGCGGAGAAGAAGAATGGGGAAAGTGGTGTAAAGAATCAATATCTCGGTTCAGTCCACGAATGTTGGTGAGGGTGATAAGTGCATGTTCTGAGTGCATAGAGGGAGCGAGTGTACATGAATGTTCGTGATTTTGTATATTCACGTATATATTACGAAGCAACCGGCAACCATGATCATGAAACTCGGAGTGATGGACCACATAAGGCTTCAGTAGATCAGGTGTGGTAGTGAGCCGGGCGACGGCAGAGCCGTTTTCACATATGCTGATAACATTAGTTTCTCACTAATAATCATGATATATTCCTTCCAGTGCAGTCTAACATAATGCTTTTGGATAGGTGTTCGTTTGTATATCCAATGTTTTGTTCGAATAAAATGTTTATTTTTACCTGCTGGTGCATAGCCGACAGATACTAACACGATTTTTCCATATAATTGACACAATACCTTGTTTCTTCTACCAGTTTAACATGCTATTACTGAAGCAGCGTTCGATTGTTTTTCACTATTTTGGGGTCCTTTTTAATAACACAGGGACATACGAAAGAAGTTTCATCCGTTTTATGGTGGCCCGGTGGAAATGCTTGTGTTGCCGCAGCCGCTGCCAGAGACCAAAGTCAATACGAAGGATTGGCAGTGTCTGGTGGCCACGACGGATTGTTAATCTTCTGGTACATGGATCCTTCTCGCGCGGAAACACCTAACTGGTCTGAAAGTGATGTTTGCCAAATATGTGCTGCCCCTTTCTTCTGGAATGTTAAAAAAATGTGGAGCATTATGTCCGTCGGAGTAAGACAGGTACGTTTGTGTGCCTCGCGGATAGATTACTTGGACTAGATTCGTTCCGTGTGAGTGTTTTACCCCAGAGTGCATTCTCTGTCGAACAGTTCATCCCATGAATTCTAGATGAAACCGAAGCCAATTTACATGCTAAGTAATATTACACACATATTGCACATCTTAGTGTTGTGAACAGTAGACGGGGAAATCCCCATAGTCACGAGAACCTGCTGTTCAGTGATGGATACCGGAAACCTAAGTCCCAGGACCTGGAGTGGTGAACCACAAGGCTGCGCTAGATTAGGCGTGGTATTGAACCGGACGACAGCGAAGCTGCCTACCACGGAAGTTTGGTGTCGGCGGAGGGGCTCGAACCTTGGACCATAGCATTCAAAGCATGCTGGTGACAGTGACTAAGTCACTGCACCACCATCACCCTTTGAGTTTAGTGAGTGATTATATGTTCAAAGATAGGAGTTGTTGGTGTAGTCTCGTAGCTCAATCAATAGAATTGCCCTGCAGTAAACATTTATCGACTAGAGGTTCTCGACACTCGGTGTTTACTTAATTTGTCATACATAGGGTCGAACAAACGGCTGATTCACCTTGAAGTAGGGTGCCGTGTCTTTGGTAATGTTTCAGTGAAAAAATTGTTGCCATCGTATTCTAATGACTAGGCTTTGCAGATGAGGTTATATTTTGTGCATATCACACAGTTGTCTATCCATTGCGCCTTTTTGCAGTCGCGCCTCTAGAGTGGAGAAAAATTTAATTAAGCCTAACAGATGAAGTATCGGTGAAGCATGAAGAGATGCCTATAGCGATCAGATAGAAGAGATGTTTCACCTTCCAGACTGGTTTAAAAGGCCCGGTAACTGATTGATTGGGGACATTGATGGACATGAATTCGAACTGACAGTAGTGACGCTCTTTCAGGTCAAATGCTCGAAGATATATATGTGCACACTTCGACTATAAACCTTTTATGTTCTGCTGTGATGCTCCTACCCCACCCCACCCCCTCAAAACAGAACGGCTACTCCTCCGTTTTACATATTCCTGCTTTTCTTGTACACACTTTGAGCTTGGTAGCAGTCAGTGAAGTTCGCTCTATGACTAAGATGTTTATGGTGCTGATGCTGGAGGAAGTTACTTTTTTAACGTGCAGTAGTCCATGAGTGGGTTCGAGTCCCATTGAGGCAACTAAGCTTAGAATAAATGTGTCAAACATTACTTGTGAATTTTTTTTAATGTAGCAGATTTGAAGTGCTTTCTACGTATTATTTTGAAGCCATGGACACTACTGAAATTTTGGTTTCAGTGTTGTCTCAAATTTGTATATTTCTCCTTCTTGTCTCCCTCTGATTCATTCCTGTACCGGTTTATCGTTCGCCCGTTGTCCGAGTTAGCTATTGATTTGTTGGCATTTGCCGGCTTGAGACATTCGTGGTGTCATTGCGACATTCGGCTGTCTGTTGAGAGTCGAGTATATGTTGCAGCAGTTAGGTCAGTGCTTCTCTACGGTGCAGAGACTTAGCTATTACGAGAACAGGATAAAAATAGATTGTCGGTGTTCGAACACCGCTGTCTACGTCGTATTGCACGAGTCTGGTGGGGTAACCGGACTAGCAATGCTGAGGTTAGCCGTAGAGTTTTAGGCATTCGCGGTCGTCCACTGGAGCAAGTGATCGACCTCCATAGATTACGCTGGTTGGAGCATGTGTTACACATGTCACCAGATAGGTTGCCGCGGCGAGCGATGTTTGCCAAGGTTGGTAGCGAACGGAAAAAGCTCAAGGGTGATCAAACTGAGGGTATGAAAACCCTAGGTCACGTAGGCCCCGTTAGGCTCCCTGGCTGGGGACCTCGGGATGATGGCCATCGGTGGTTAGAGTGATATGGCTGGGTGTCGCAAACAGTGGCGTTCGTGCATCCACTCATTATCCCCCTGTCACTATTCTATATGAATTCTCCATCTTCCGCTTGAATTTGCTTTTAACATTCCAATCTTCATCCTGCTGTTTTATCCGAATGTGGCACCAAAAGACAGCAACCAAAACCGGCACACGAAAGTGTTGTAAAAACTGATACTGAAACTGAGTTTGACTTATTCCATCCGTTCCCTTCAATGCCGCGCAGATCGTAGTTTGTAATCGTATTTCAAGTTTGTCTACGTTTCTTTGTGATATTCTTATTTTATTGAATCTTGGCGTATTGGTGGGTTCATCGTTGGTACCGTAGGCACCGTCAAGCGCCATGTTATCACCTTAGAAAGTAACCTGAATATTGCAGTTGTGCTGAGGCGCTTGTCTTTCCATATCCATAAGTTGATACAATGGCCTATTAAACAGTCTGTCATATCTTTTTCTATCAACGTGTTCTCGCCATTGTTTTCTATTGCTTCCCAACCATCTTTTCTGCTTTACTCAAATATTTCTCTACTCTTCGTGGCCGCCCAATCAAAATCACCCGTGATTTACTCCTTCCCATGAATGTTTTTATCACTAAACTGGACTACCTCCTTGTTGATTCTTGTAAAATTTATGTTGATAAAATGATCGCCAACCCTTCACATCCTGTTGATTCTAAATTATCTGCCCGCCATTCTCATTTCTTACTTAGATCAACACTAAAGTCCCTGTTCCATATTCTTCAATGCTTACTGAACTGTGGATGAACGTTCCTCGTTTTTAATAGGTATTTCTTGTTTTCTCTCTTTCATTCTCTAAATTGTTTTTGCATTTTTGTCTGGGTTAAAGCGTAGTCATGAACCCTTACAAAAGTACGCAATAAAATGTCTCAAGTGGTTATGAGTCAATCTTCATCAGGCGGTGTTTTTCATCATTGGTAGAATTTACAATCTGAACTAACGGCATTCCTCTAAATTTCGTTAAGAGAGCACACTTTTATGCTTTGTTTCGACTGTCCGTTTGACCCAACATCTGTTCATCAATTGTGACCGTGTAGTGTTTAGTTTAACTTATCTGCAGCCAATTGTTTTTCAATGATCGCCGCCGCATTGTTGATTCACCTGATCTGTGTGTGTCAACGGAATAATTTGATGTTATGCTCTAAGTTTTCGAGTTGGTGTTATTGCATCATCATCACCTGTTAAGTCTCCTGTTGGTGTCGTCCAGTTAGACGAAACAAGTGACTGTCTTCCGTTTCATCTCTGGCTGAAAAAGTGTCAGAGCTTTATGCCTGAATTTACATCCATTAACAGGTTACAGTTGCACAGAAGAATTGTTATTAGATGATATTCCGCATTATTGTTAACGTCCTCAGATCATTCTGCAAACTTTGAGCAAAGTTAAAAGATGAACTCTGCTAGAGGAATTTCTTTGTTGTACCCTCATCGATCAGATACCTATAACATCGAAGGAAAAGCTGGCCAGTAAGAAATGAATCATAGCTGCGTTTTATGGTTTCTTAAGTTGAGTAAACGAGTGTTTGTGTGTAGTTTCCCAATAGACTATAGGTAAAGGTCATGCCCTGTTGTGCTGAGGGTGATTTGTTGTCAGTGATTTATAATGTCCAAGGAGACATTACTGATTGCACAGAAATATTGCTGATGAATTCCAACAAAGCAGCTATCGAATACACCTTGTTGATCACTATATCGTTATGACCTAGAGGAAAATTATAAAGAAATGCACCGAGAGATTGAGTTGAGTCAATGTCTCTACTCCAAACTGCTCGGTAACTGATGGCTTGGAAACTGAACGATATGACAACGAACCGACAGCGGTGGCGTTCTTATTGTCATTCCTTATTATTCTGGGGTACTTATAAAAGATTTATATGCACATTTGGACTATATACTCTTTACACTGATGTTCGAGCTTGTCTTCCCTTGTCTCAAAACAGGCTCATTCTCTATCCATCCAAGTTGATATTTATTTCCAGTTCGCTAGCGAATTTTCATCACAAACAGATAAGATTTCCTCCGTGGTAGTGAGAACGACAATGTAATGCTCATAAAGATCATACGTAACGGAAATAGCCAGTAGAAAATGCAAAGGACTCATTCAAATGTCACAATATAGATTGTTATTCTATCTAATTCCTTGTGAAATGTATCCTATCATTGTCTCACGGCAAATAATTTGAAGTAATTACCGAGGAATGTTTTTTTCTGTTGTGACAAATTCGATTAATTACCATTGCAGCATCATTGCCGACGATGTGGAAAGGCGGTATGTGACAAATGCTCACCTTTTCGTTCAACCTTGCCGGCTCTTGGATTCGAACGAGATGTCAGAGTGTGCAACACGTGTTGGCCGTCGATTACCGATGCGGAGTAAGTTACCATGGTGAAATCGGCATATTTCGCTGCATGTTCCTTACTACTTGACATTGACCACCGAAGTCCGCTTCGCTATATTTCACTGAATGATGTTGATTATCTGGGACGTGTAAGCATTGCTTCCCAGCCAAGTCTGAGACTAGTTGTCCTTTTAGCATTGTTTTGATTAATCTCCAAGGCTTACGTTAGTTGGGGTGTGTTACGCGTGTCACCAGATAGGTTGCCGCGGCGAGCGATGTTTACCGTGGCAGCTAGCCGATGGAAAAAGGTCAAGGGCGGGCAAACGAAGACCTGACATGAGGGTATGAAAACCCTAACCTGGAGACTGGGTCATATAGGTCCTGTTAGGCTCCCTGGATGGGAACCCCTTGATCATGGTTCCCGGGGGTTAGGGACACAGCGATATGGCTGGGTGCCGCAAATAGTGGCGGCCGTGCATCTACTCATTATTCTCTTGACACCAGTCCACATGAATTCTCTATCTTCTGCTTGAACTGACTTTCAACATTCCAGTCTTCATCCTTCTCTTTTATCCAAATGGGCGGCCGAAGGACAGCAATCAATGATAGCGTTACTTTTCAGAAAATCCTCGAATACTGCGCTTGTAAACTGGGGGCCGTTATCTGTGCATGGTGTTTTAGTCACCCCATATATTGCGAACTCAAACGCACTTTGTTGACGGTGCACTCGAGGATGATGTTGGGTACAATATGGACGTCAATCCATTTTTATTAGGCGTCTATCATAAGTAACATCTTCCTCTCAACGGGTCCGAAGTAATTCGCATGCACGCGCTGCTAGGGACCATCCTGTAGTGCCCATGGGTGTATCGGTCCTGTTAGTTTATCATTTTGGTGTTGTTGGCAGTTTTCACAGCAACACACCAGTTGCTCGATGTCAATTCAAGTGTGCACTTCATTCATCCAATGTGGACAGAATTTTGAGTGGAAAGAATGGTATCACTTTTGCTTTGGTATAAGCGCTATTAAAAAGTGAATTTAAAGGTACGACAAAAGTTATTTGAATGATAAGGAATGGGACACTGAGAACGCGTAAAAAATAAAGATAATGTAAACGTGAAAATTTACATTAGACTGTGTATAAATTCGTTTGATACTCCATAGAAACCAACAAATGTGAGAGCTAAGGTACAACGGAGTTGTGAAAAGCAGTGGTACGAGTATGTAATGGTTTTAATTTATTGCGGGTGACAGAAGTTGGAATGGAGCTAGATAGAGCTGTGTGTGAGGGATGTGACGTATCGGACAAGACAGACTCACACGTATTCAGGTGTTGGTTGACAATAGAATCAAAAAACTGCCCATAAGATACAGTTCCATATCTAGAGATTTGTTATCGTGTCAAACGTATGTTCAACAAGGCAGCAATAGGACCAACAGTCAATCCGGATCGGGCCCACGTCGGCCGGCAGTATGAGCATAGGCAAGTGCGTGAGGTTGATCGACCTGAGTCGATATCAATCGATAACGTCTGTGGAACGAGCAAATTAACGATGCGCAGACTGGCAGAACGTACGCCTTTAAGCCACAGGCACGTATGCAACAGGAGCCCCCTGGCGAAGACAGCGTCCCGACTAAAATCCATAAAGTCTGTTCACTAGCTCTACTTGACTACGCTATTCCGCCACACCCGGAATGCTGAAAATTTCCCAAAAGACTGGACAACATCTATTCTACTTCCTATTCCCAAAAGAATGATAAAACCAGCTGCACGAACTGCAGATGTATTAGCATCATCGACATGGTTTCAACTAACCTGTTTCTGGCCCGTAAGGAGTCGATAAAAACAGTTGATCATGGTGATGCAGTNCAGTGGACTTCGTGTACTTCGACACCCCCGAAGCAGTCGACTGAGCAAACCACAAAATACTGCTGAAGAAACTAGACATTTATGGAATTCGAGGACTTGTACTGGGTTGGATAGAATTTCTTCGACAGCGCACGATGAGAGTTCAGGTTTCTGGGTCATTATCTGATCCTATCAACGTAGCTCGAGGAGTTTCATAGGGATCTGTGCTTCAACTTCTTCCAGTTTTCATAAACGACCTAACGAATATTCTGGGACCACAAACGGTAATGTTTGCAGACGGTGCAAAAATAGGGAAAACTGACAAAACCTGAGGACTCACTGGTACTTATCAATGGTTGATCGAAAACAACATCGAATTCAGTTCATCAAAATGTACACAAAACTCGGTTTCCGTACTTCCTGGGATATCAACAACTTCCGTATACCTCGAATGAGAAAGATCTTGGTGTCTTTTTTCGAGACCACCTAAGTTGTTCTTCAAACTGCTCCAGGGCGTCGTCCACCATCGTAAGACATGTTGGTAAGGCGAGTATTTGGAAACTTTGAACGTATGCTGTTCTCACGTTTGTTATCAGCCTACAGTCGGCCCCACATACAGCATGCAATTCAAGCGTGGAATCCATGGCTGCAACGCAACCGTAAAATACTGGAACGTCCACAAAGAACGGCCACCAAAATGGTCATAGACTGCACCCCAAGACTTATATGGAAAGATTGGCATCATTCGGTCTGTACTCCATGCAGTATCGTCCAATTCGAGGGGCTTGATCTTGTATCACATAATGCCGAATGCTGAACACCTATGTTAACTGTTCGCCTTTTCTCCCTAAACTCACCTCAGAGGGTACTCATTCAAATTAGTGCTCCAAAGATGACGACTAGAATGCCGACATCATTTATTTACCCTCAGCGTGTACAGTATTCATACTTCTCTACCACAAACTGTTTCTGCGTCCACAGTTAATTGCTTCAAAGGCAAACTGGAGGAAACTGACAAATCTTAAAGTTCGACTTCCGTAAAAATGCACGAAACATTTCTCATCTTTCAATGAACCGTAAATCGATCCATTTGTGCTACACCCTATGGGATGAGAAAAGCAACCGCTTGTATTTCCCATAATAAAACTTTGACTTTGATTATGCAACTGTGTACCGTATAACTTAACGTTAACTCTACTTAGTATGAATATTCAAGCTTTTCTTCTTTTAAGTACCTGGGAGTAAAATTAGGTGCTCAGTTATGGTGGAGGTATCATATCCCTTACTTCGACACTTGTCCTTTCAAGTGCTAGGTACACTGATCATCTGTAATGTTCAACCACTGGTTGCGTCTACAGGAGTGAAACTGAGAATTCGAATGAGACCATTTGAGAATCTGACCAATTCTTGAGCCGAAGCTCGTAACTTGTTTATATATCAAGCTTTTGATCCTCATTAAATGTAGCTTACTTCAGTCTTACAAATGAACGATGTATTTTATAATACAGAAATGCTTCCCGTAACGGCTGACTAAGTGCATTCAGAATGTGGAAAACGAACTCCTGGAGGAGTGAAATACGTGCACCATACGCAGTACTTATTGACTGCGCCGTCATATAAGCCTATTCGCACATGACATTCTAAATTCTTTTGTTTCTAACACGCTATCTTCAATTAGTTGATCGAACCACTTCATTCAGCTTGTCAATTAGCATAGAAATCAGTTAAGAAAATGTAAATTATTTTTAAGCAGCATGACTCTGATAGTTATGCAAAGTTGTTGCAACTATCACAAAAACACTACAGAATCCTCTGGAGTGATGGCTGTCCCCTGACGTATTACGACTTGAAGTGGTTTACACGTAATAGCCTCTGAGTTGCTTTTGTCGTCACAGTTGGTTCTCATGACCATGGATTTTAAACCTTCGGCCGCTTATCACACTGAGTTGTCTATCCAATATTGGTGGCTAATAATTGAGAAACCTGGTTATTATGAAGTGAATGTGGTGACCTTGTTTTTTTGATTTTGGTCTGGTCTCTGAGTATAATCATATTCCAGCGTTTTCTAATTTTCGCAGCCGCCGAAGTTTGGCTATTCTGTTCGAAGCACGACATCCGATCCTTCGAGTTCGCATTGAAGAACGTTTAAATCTCATGCTCACTGTCGGTAAGGATCGCGTCTTAAAGGTAAGCAGGTGCATCTTTTTCCTAACTTTACAGATACCCGATGGAAAGAAACATTTACTTAGTGTTGTCCCGTAGATTAGGTATTGTTATTCCTGATCTCACTTTTGACACGGTTATCTTAGGTACCGGGCCATTTTTCACGCTTTCATTACTGTGATTTCAGCGCGTTGTATGCAAGACAATACGTAATTCGCGGTATCAGGAATTGTTCAATCAAGTAGGAAACGTGCACGGTTGATTTCCACTTATCATCACCTTGTGGGCTCATTTTTTATAATGTCTTCTATCTGAAATAAAGGCATCACAACTTGAATTGATCTATATACCACTTTACAGAACATGAGCTAGCAATATTCATGTTTAGCATTGCCTTTGTTTCTCAAACACGCTGTGATGGATTTGCTTTCGACCAAAACCTTGTTCATTTCAACTCTATATTTTTTAGGAGTTATGTTCTACCGCACTCTTTGTGAGCCAGTTTGCATACTGTCTTGAGTGCACCTAACGGTAGATGTGATTCGTATCAACCTCTTGATTTTAATAGTCGCTAACGTTTCCAGTCTAAAATTTGCAAACGCGGTTTGATTTTCGTTTCAGGTTTGGGATATAAAAGCGCTGGTGTAATCCGTCTGCAGCTCTTGAACAGTCGATGGTTCATCTTCCGGGCTTTTGCGTACATGGTCTCCAGTTTCCATTCAAGTGCTGTGATATTCAATTTGTGTCACGATGGCATTCAATCAACTAATTACTGACGGCTATCTGATCTATACAAATCTAAACAGTGGGATACTGTTTTCAATGCCATTTACGTGGAATCTCATCCGACCATTGATTGTGTACATAACTTTTCCTCTTGCGACTCCTATCAAATAATATTCCCCATTGATTTTAGGATGATTCGCTTTGGTAAACTTCTTTTCTAATGCAATGATTCCACCGACATCCCGGTCTGTAATGTTTTCAGATGTGTTTTTTGTCGCTTCGTATTGTGCCTGACAAGTTCATTGCGGATGACATTGGATGTTTTGTTAGCCCTCCGCTTACATGCACTCGAAACAATACTTCACTCAGCTATCACCCGTTTTCTCCGGGTATCACATTCAAAGTTGGAACGGATGTCTTTGAAGAAATTGTATGTCGTGCTCATAGTATTAGATCCGTTTAGGAATGTTTGAATTAGCCGCGAAAGAAAACCAAAAAACAATTTTCGGTTGACGACGTTTCCACCCTCTTGGAAGGCGTTTTTCAAGTCAATTAACAAGCGAACATTAAACAATAATCTTGAGAGAAACCGTATCCATTGGAGGTGCTTTCGATTGGTCTAGGGGGAGGAACAAGGTTCGCGCATTCGATTGCGTAGTTTTCCTCATAAATGCTTATGATAACTGAACTAGGCGAATGTTTAACAACTATGCGGGTCCAGTACTCCGAAGCGTCTCATACAATAAGCACGACTTGTCGCCAAGCTGGGGCTGCCACTAATGTCATTATATCGATCGGTCCCGAACGACACTGAGCAGCGCATCAACGCTTTGATGAAACCACTCTTGTGGCTCAGATTGTTCGTGGTAAGAGTACTAACGAGGAGGTTAGAGCAGTCAACGAAAATTCGGAACGAGCTTCCTTTATTTCATGTAATCAAATACACTATTCCTTGGAGGAAACGAGCAAAGTTCATAGATA